GTTGCTGAGATGCTCATGGGCAGTTGAGAACCTTTTGCTGACTTTACTGGTGCAGCAGCACATATTACATCATCATGATAAAGACTACAGCAAATTGTAAACTACAATTAATCTTTGTCCTTAAAAATGTTCCAACAGACATTATACATTTCCTCTGTCAGTCTGAACCAATTTTTTCATCCTTTTCTTCCTAAAGTTCTGTAATTTAAAGACATTGGTATTCCCTAACTCTGCTCAATTTCTATTCAAAATGAAATGAACTTTTACTCATCTTCCAGAATTTTTTTTTTAAATCACATTAACACAAAGTACTGATGGGATGTACTTCCTAAGTGCCAAAATTTAACTCTCTGAGCCAAACTCAGTGTCAATGTTCACAGCTTCCCAAGAAAAAAGTGCTTTCTGCAAATTTTAAGCAACACTAGCTAATCTTTTATATTTCCTCCAAATAACTCTGATAGAGAAACCAATACACACATGAAAGCAAGCCCAAAAATGAAAATATCATTACTATCATATTTCCTTCAAGCCAACAACCAGAAACACAGCATAAAACTCTGATATTCTGGACACTGACAGCTTTACTGCCTCAATTCACAGAGAATATCACCAAACAATAGAACTTGCAGCTACTTGAACCTCAGAGAATATAATTTCATTTATTCATTTCAATGACATTTTTACTAGACTATAGCTTCATGTAGATTAGTCAGACACATGAAAAACCACACATTAGCTGAGGGGAAGCTGTGATGACTGCAGTTGTCTTAACAGTGTCAATCCAAACTTTAGATTAATGTAATTTGCTGGCTCTAAATGACAGAGATGTAATATAGATCTCGTATATCACTGAAGTAATAAATAATTAGTGAGCAGAACTGAGTAAAATGGAAGCTCGAACACAACCCCAAATTTTGAATCTTGATGCAGAAGTCAGCAACCAGAATGATACGTCTTTCTGCCTTGAATGATAAAACAGCTTTCTCACAACCTAACACATAGCACCATCTGGCATGAACTGAGGAAACTAAGAACTTCTGGAAGAGAAACACAAAAGCAATTTTGTTTCTTCAGAATTGTCCAAGATATCAACAGAAGTCTTTCAGAAACAGCAATGTGACTGCAAATGTGGCTCAGTGAACCTGTCTCCTGAAGATATGTGTGTAACTAATAAAATACTGTTGAATTGAACTGATTGGGTATGGGATGAGCACTGTCTGAGTTAACACAGTGCACATGGAAAGTTCTCTGTCTACCAAACTGCCTGAATTTCCAAACATCATCTCACATCTCTTACTGGGAATTTTAGGAGCTCAGGATACATTTCTTCAGCAGAGCCCAGCAGGCTCTTTTCAGTAGTTACTCACAAGAAGAGTGACCACAAACAGCCAGTTAAGGTGATTTTTGAGCAGTACCAGCACATAGCACTGGGTGTTTGCTGGGGATGGACACCTCCCCTGTGCAGAGGGACAGAGGCTCTGAGCCCACTGCCAGCCCGAGGGGGACGTGGAGCTGGGAGTGTTTCAGTGGAAACGCAAATGGAGCTCCCTGCAGTCCAGGAAACATCAGAGTGCTCTGCTATCAGCACAGATTTATTTTAGCATTGCTTGTTGAAAGTGACTTTTAACGCAGACTGTTTTCTAAATGATCCTTAAAAGACACTCCTTTCTTTCTCATCACCTTCACCTAAGGCAAGAACATCCAGTAGCATTGATCTATTTGCTGCTAGTTTTCATTAATTTTACCCTCCCTAAGGGTGGTGAAGCTTTGGTGCCAGCTAATTAAAACCTATTTAGGGATGCTCAGTACAGTTTATCAGACCAGAATTAGCTTTGCTGCTTTAATGAAGACTACAGTTTTCTCTGTTATTACCAATTAAATGTTATTATATCATATTGCATTATATTTGTATTGCATGGCAGAGATATAGATGGCTTTAGAACCACTTATCTGGATTGAGGTACATACAAAGATGGCACATTTAGTAATTATCTAATATCTCTTTAAATCCTTTCACTTGAGTAAATATATATAATATACCAGCACATTAGTGAAGTACTGGAAGAAGCTGCCAGCTTTATGCTCCCTCTAGGGAAGTACCAAGCAAAATGCATTAATGAAAAATTGTGAATGTCTGGTAATGAATATTATTTATGTAGAACAATTATTCAAAGTGGATGAGCATTCACCACCTTGAACTCAACTGCTTCACTAACAAATACTCTCAGAAAGAACATATGTTCCCCAGATTCTTAACACTCATGCAAGGTTAATTACCCAGTGTGGACAACCCACATCAGAGGGCATTTTGTACTACTGTAGAATTAAAAAATGCATTACAAAAGAAAAAACACTGTTTGTTCAAAGTTACTCAGAGGCAATTCTTGTTTCTTCCATGCATCAGTAATAAATCATTTGTCAATATCAAAGCTGTGGATTTTGGAGCTGCACCCAGTGAAGTCAGGGATAAAGCTCCCATGCCAGCACTGCAGGACCAGAGCTTTTCTGCAGTAGAAAAGTGACTGCAGCACCTACCTGTTAGCTGCTTCTCACAAAATCTTTTTAAAACTTGAGCACCACAAGGATGAAACTGCTGAAAATTCCCACTAATTACCTAAAAAGATTGTACATCAAAGAGTAGAAACAGAAAACTCATTAAAGGCTCGACAGACTAGAAATCTGCTGCAATCTTACTATGCATTAGTAGCATATACTGTACAGAAAGACAGTATTTTAGGATTAAACTAAAATAGATGTAGTTGCAATTCACTCAGTACATTTTAAAATATGAGTTGAAATTGGTTTCCTTCCAGAATTTTTGCTGGAAACATGTCGAACCAGACCTCTATTCAATCTAATATTCCAAGCAAGGGTTGATGTTTCTCTGAGGAACTGAAGGAATATTTGGCTGAGGAACCTGAGTCTGTCCCAGCATCATAATAGCCTGGCACAATGTGTGAAAGTATTTTCATCACCCACAAATCTCCTGTGCTCTCCATTTACTGCTTCCACAAATGCCACATATACCTCTAACAGTCTCATGACCCTCCCTAGAAACAGAAGACAGGTCCTGCAAATTGAAGATGTTACAGAAAATGAAACAGTTTCCAAACAGAAGTCCTCAATTACTCGGGAACTGCAAGATGTTTTCTTGAGATACAGAAGGCGTTGGCTGGTGATACATCAATCATTTCCCTTGTTTCTGCATGACAAAATCACGAAATGATGTTAAAAACACCACTAAGTATTTGATGTGGAAAAGCAGGACTAAAAATGAAAGTTTCAGTAGATACAAGGATGTTAACTGGCTGCCACTGTGAGAAGTGGTGGGTTTTCCCTTGGTGTCAAAGGGACACACATGCACAAACAACGTGAAGGGTCGTGAGCCAGGCTCATAAAAATGTATTGCTGTTGCAATGTGAAACTTAAGGAAAAAGAACACGGGTCATTTTGACATTAGGTTGCTTAAGAACTTTGTTATAAGCTCTGAGAGAAGTTCAGTCTGTTTTTTACATGAAAAGAAGCATTTGTATTGTGTTAATTGCGTAACGATAAAAACCTGAGATGTGTTAATTTGTTGAAGAGGAATGGATTAGGCTGGAGAGAAGGATACTTTGACACTGAAAGATGAGATGTCCTTCTTTCATAGGAAAAAGAGGAGATTTTCAAGGTCTAATCGCACAATAAGGATTTTGATAACATAATGTAAAGTCGCTGTGACCTGACTGACTCATAAATATAAACAATTTTATGTACAGCAATACAACAACATACCCATTATCATATTTGGCTTGATTAATATGTAAACAGGATGACTTGGATTATTAAAGGTCATTTTTCAAGAATGGATCTTGAAAAATCCTTGATAGCCTCTGGTTATCAGTTTGCTCAGTTAAACTAAAGAAGCCATGATAACCTTGACACCTTTATGAGATATATGAGCTCCCTCCAACTCCAGAACCACAGCAGCAATATGTGCACTTGGTGAAGAGGGGCAGGCTCCTCCTTATGCTCCAATAGTTTGAAAAATAGGAAAAAATCAACTGTCACCAAGTTCTGACAGTTTAATAACATGGTGAAACAAGTACTTTTGAGATAAGCTTTTCTACTTCAAAAGCTAAGTCAAAATTTCAGACGATGTTAAGCTGTTTGTGAAAACCTGCATCATTAATTTGGTCAGAATAGCAACAGTCCTTTCCAACCTCAAATTCATGATGCACAAATTCAAAAATTAATATTAAGGCACAGCAGTGATCTGGAAACGCCTTCCTCGTTAGCTCAAATGAATATGTGTGACAGGTGCTCTTCCATGCCAAAACACAGATGACCTGAATTTTTGCAGCTTGGTTACAAATTCTTGAAATTTGTGGTCTTAATTCCACAAATCCTGTTTCTGGTTTGAACATGCTAGTCCAGTCCTCACATCTTCACCTCTTACAGCCTCACTTGAGTACCATAAATACACAGTATCAAGCATAGAAAATAGCATTTCAGCATAATACTAGTAAAAACCTAAATCTATTCCAGTATGTCTGATAACCTGTTTTCACCAAGAAACAGAAATAATGCATAACCCTGAGGTCTGTGTTTGAAGAAAAGCTACAGTGAATCTCAACAGAGAAAAAAATGCAATATCCAGAATTATCCTGAGGTTGTGCATTTGGATATGTTGTTTGTGTAGGATTATCCTCTTCAAATAAAATGTCAATTTAATCAATAGTAAATTGAGCTGAAAACAACACACAGCTTTGAAAACATTTCAGGAAGACATCCAATATTTTTGGGACTCAAGCCAACAGCAATGGAATGAACAGAAGGTAGCGTAGGTGGGGTAAATGGGGCCTAGCTGCTGCCTCATCAAGTGCTTATAACAGTCAAACCCATATAACAATCTATTAAAAACATATCTGGGGACTCATTTAGTAGCTGACATCCCACATGGACTTTCCTCACGTATCTTTTGTCAAACGTTTTAATTGTTCCTCACGTTTCAGACTCACCGGTCCTTTCCCGTCTCCCTCTTGAACACCGCATCGCAGTAACTCATGCGCTTCTCCGTGGTCACGTAGATTTTGGCAGTTGGGTAGCTGTCAACAGTTTTCTTCAGCATGTTGTACACAATGCCATTTCCATCCCTCCTCATGTTCCGAAAAGGACCCCAGATCACGTAAACGGTGCTGTTGGTTTCTTTGAAAAAGTACTCGGGATTCTTGAGCAGGAGAGGCACACTTGTGTGAGAGACCACTCTTACGGTGGTCCTCTTCCCAACATCTTCCTCATAGCCCTTTGTGGGAGCATTGTTCATCCTCCAGATGCAGGAGGACTTGTCTATCTCAGTGCCCACCCTCTGGCCAGCCATCTGTCCCGAGTTTGAAACAATGGCACAGAGGTCACAGTCAAGTTGTAGAGGCTGGAAGACAGGAAACAATAATTTATATTGCAAGTTTTCCTCTGTAAAACATAAAGATTCAGAAAATTCAGTTTAAAGAAAAACAGGTACAGTACAACAAATGGATAATAATGCTTCTCTTTAAAAAAACAAAACCACAATCCCCCCATGGCAGAGCTGCTAAAAAACTCTACCACTGCAAATGCAAACCTTTTCAATGAAATGGGCAGTTCCAATCTTTGCCTTTGTTCCCACTTTGCAAAGTCAACTATACAGATAATAATTCCTTTTTCCCCTCTAAATGTTACTCTTTTCACCAAAAAAAACAAGGAAATAAAGAAACAGTAGAAAGCAATATTTAGATCAATGGCTTCTCTTTTAACAAGGTGTTGCCAGCAATAGGAAAAAACCTACTAAAAAAGTAATGCTGGAAGTTTAACTGTACATTAACTATGTTTGTGTCTGAAAGAACAGTTCCCAAATTTCTGACAGAAGTCAAATGCAAAATGTATCTCTAAAAAGCAATGGAATAGTATGAAAATCCTGCAGCTGGAAAGGAGATGTGGACAGAGAAGATGTTGTTTTCTCCAGAGAGTTGTTATGATCCATCGAAAATGAGAGGCAGAGGGACTGGTGACACCTGAACTAGGAACTTAATCCTGAGAAAACTATAATCAAAGACAGTATTTTGTTACCATGTTCTAGGGTGCTATTACTCCAGTATGAATCGAAAATAGAAAAAGATAATCTAACAAAGATATAAGGACCTATCCGATGCTCCATTTGTCAGAGTATAAAGAGTAAATCTCTTTTCATTGTTTTGTACCTACAGACTAAAAGGAAATGCCCTCTATTTAAATTGGATTGTATAAAGAGTTCAGTTAGAAATTGAAATCAAATGAAAACTAGACCCATCACAAAAAAACCTTACAGGAGATCATCTAGGTCAGAGATAACCTACAATATTTTGTGTGGTCACAGACTTGATCCTCTGTCATGCTCACAATTGGGAGGCAGTGACCTCAGTTTAGTATTTTTTCACGTTCATTGAACATTTACTCTGACAGGATGCTAGGTGCTTTTCTGATCAGTCTTGTGGTTATTTCTCTTCAAAATCAAACCTCATTTAACTGATGTGGATGAAATGCCTGCCTACATTTGACCACTATAACCCTAGGATGCAATTGCTGACAATAAAATGAATTCTTTGATAAGGGGGAATAATGCAAGGACAAGAGACAAATATCTTAAGAAAGCCAAACTGTAAGAGCTAAAATATATCATTTTTGTGTGACAAATATTGTACTGAATTAAGGTGCACCCTGCGCAACTTGTGCAGTAAACCTTACAATTTCAAAGCTTTGATTTCTCTGTTTTGATTGATTTGATTTTGTTATGTGGCTGGTTCAGGAAAACATTCTTTCCTAAATCAGTAGCTAAAGATTCCTGATTGAATACAAAAGCATTGTCAATGTTTCCTTTACAGAAAACCATGCATTTTTTATAGCTGGTATAGCTTTAGAGAGTTGTCCTGCATGGCTCTCTGACAGCAGGGATGAAATCCCAGGAGATGCAGTTGAATGCAGCAGCCTTTCTGTTTGCTGCTTACTTACAGAAATTCTCTCTAAGATACATTATGAGGACATGGCTGGGTGACCTAAACAAATCCATGAGCATTACTCATATTCTAGCATGAAGTGAATAGTTACAGACCCAGCAGATTAATTTATAGCTTTCAGGCTAAACTTTCAAACTAACAAATGCTGAATATGAAACTGCTAGATAGGAAAAGCCAATTTGGTCAACAATCTGGTTCCATTTAAATTTGTCTCATCCTCAGAGCTGCTTTTTCACTAAATTCTTCCTTCTCCATTTAAATGGAGCTGCTCTCTTAAATTTAGAATTGTTTGAATTTCCTCACCTTAGAAATGCATTGCGCATTTTCTATTCACTGAGTGCAACTGTTCTGCTTGAATAAGCTGAGTACACTCACTCCTGCAACTGTGTCCCCTGGTTTTCTAGCTCTTTTGTTGTGATTCATTTATCTTGTTCCAATTTATAAAGTGCTTTCATAATACTGCATGCCTACAATAGGTCAACATATAATCTGCTCTTCTTGAACAGAGTCAGAGGCTAACCCCCTCCCACCTCTATCTCACAATAAATATTTTTCACAATGCTGAGATTTTACATGTCCCAGTATCCACATTTCCCAACAGAGATCCCAGACAGAGTTAGAAGACTGACACCCATGACAGATATTCCAGTGAATCCAGAATCACCCACTGCCTTCATCACCTTTTTGCATCATATCTCCCTCAACATATGAGAAAACACACATCAATATTCACTCACTGAGCCCCATATGGAGACAGGCCACCAGTTTGTGGTGTTGGTTTGCAAGTGTCACAGATGAGAAGGGTGGTTTCAGTGACACACATGAATCCACATACAATACAAATGGGTCTGCCAGCCAGTCCTGGCTGCCCTCTCCTCTGCAGAGAGGGCCCAGCAGCAGTGGGACTGAAACAGACTGGCAGGACCACACTGAAACTTGTGCTGTTACTGCTTTTCCTCTGTGGACCCAGAAAATCAGGCCAAGGTTCACCTCTCACAATATCTTCATTCACTTGCATCATAGGTACATGAGTTAAAGACAAAAACATCAAGAACCATTCAGGTTTTCTTCTCTTGTCATGTACTTACTTATCCCATCTCTAAACACCAAGGGGGCTGAGCTATTATTGCTGCTAGAAAATTGCTAAATTTTTTGCTGACCAGAAGGATGTAGAAGACCTCAGCAGAGCAGCTGGGTATGGTTCTGACAAACAGTCCCATCTTTTTCCTGAATGATACATTGTAACTGTTGAGGAACACTTATATTTTAATCAGTAAAGAAAATGAAATGTCTGACCTTTCCATTTCCTGTGCAAGCTTACAGACAATAGAAAAGATAATTAAAAGTGTGAATTAGAACTCGCAAAACAGTGCCATTTCTCTAGCAGAGAGAAATAGCTGTGTAATGAAGGTCACTTATCAAACAGTTCTAGTTATTAAATCTTTGCATTTAGCACTGAAGTGGCTTCACAGAATCAAAGGTCAAATCATTAAATAACAAAATCAGCCAGAATTAGAAAAGGTCACAAGCAAATCCAACTAAAGTAGGTCACAAAACATGATTCTCTTCCACACAGGATTTCATTATTTGGAAAATTGCTTACTGTCCAAATTTGACAACACCCCCAGCATTTCCAGTGTCTCCACCAGGAGACTGAAATTCCAGCTACAGAACCATTTGTATGGGTGGATTTCCCAGTGGCACAGATCTTGGATCACCGAGTTTCCCAGCCACAGCCCTGCACATCTGCTGAGGTCCCTGTGGGGATGATCTCAGGCCAGGTCTCTGAAACACAGGATAAGGTCTGGACAAACAGACACACGCCAAGCTCTGGTCTCAGCTGAGACTGCCAGATTCGCTCCCCAGCTGGTCCAAACCCAGCTCAGGATCTCTGCAGATGGAATCTCCACTAATGAAAAGCTGAATTTCTCTTGTGGCTCCTTAGCACTGTGGACTGGCGGTGCGCTCTCTCCAGCCACCAACTGTTCCACTCTGAATCCCACAACTAATCACACAGATAGTTAGGAAACTCACACTAAACTTTCTCAATTGTTACTTTAACAATATGATTGTAATTTTGTAAATTGGACGCAATGCCCATTCACTACATAATGAGGCAATTATTAGCAGCTTGCCACATATTAATTTGCTCTTTTAATGTTGAAACAAATGAGATCTTTTCTTATAATCATCCTATTTGAGTGAATTCTAACAAAGCCGATTGAACAAAGCTCCAGAGAGACTTTCTTTATTTCAATGCCATTTATTCTTCTACTCTTCTTGGATGTCTTTAGAGTTTCAGAGGATACAACATTTATAATGATGCCAATAGGGAATAGATTTTGCCTTTATTCTTCTCGATGTTCTTTTCAGGTCTTTGAAATGAAAGGTACAAGAGAGGCATTAACCGTCTGGCATTGTTTTTATTGCTTTCCTCTACTTTGCAAGCAAAAAATGTATTTTAATTTTTTCTGTGTTTCAGTGATTAAACAAGCTAGTTTTATCTACACTTACTCAATTTCTTCAGACCTCTGACTGGGAGAAAAGACTTGCCAAGCTTCTCTAGGAAAAAATTCAGAACGTTAAAAGAAAAGAAAGATAGTATTTGTGCATTCACCCAGCAAGAACTACCAAATTAGTACAGCACTGTATCTAACTTACATTATATTACTAACATCAAGCAAAAAATTATAAAAATTATAAAAATGACTGATTACCCTGAGTTTGCGTTTGTTCCCTCTTCCGCCCTATGGCAGTATTGTGGGTTTTTTTAACTTCAGTAGTTGATTTTGGTCCTATCCCTCAGCACCATATTCCAGCAAACATCTCTGTCTTCATAAAATTTAATGTTAAGATTTCATAAAGATTTTACCATTTTGACATTATTTTGAAATAACCCCAACGTCAACATGCATCCATTTTCAAATAAATAGAACATGATCTGCTTCTTCATAAGACTGTTCCTGAGACTCAAGTGCCTGGAATATTTTATTTAGATGAATGGCACTGATACATACATGAGTTCTAGCAGAAAGTTTTTATTTAAATTGAAGGAATTGGAAGGGAGTGCACAGGAGGTACATAATGGGACTAACCTTACAGCAGGAGACTGAATAAATAACCGTATTTAAAAGTCTTTCTATATACACTGACCCAGTTGTTAGAGAACTGTTTGATTTGCAGCTCTGGTTACAGCTCCTTAAAGGGGCTGTACCAGCCCTTTACCTGAACAAGCATCTTGTGGATTCCTCATGTCAGTGGTAACAAGACAGAAAAACAAAGGCAGCTCGGATTTTGAGCAGAGGTTGAAACTTGTAGGCCAAAATCACCCATCCCATCTAAACTTTCAACCAGCAAGTGTATTTTTGAAACATTTTAGTTTTCTTTCTCATGGAAAGGAAAA